TGGGACCCGCAGCAATTTTTATTACCTACTCCTTAAGCGATCACTTTTCTTCATCTTATTAACGGCCACACCAGATCGAACTTCTTCCAATATTTATACCATATAAATTGTATTTATTGTTTTCTTTATTATTTACCATAAACGCGTCATGCGATTGTCTTAGATATTTTTAGTTTAGTATTTTCCTGTTTCATTGGGAAATAACTTTCACAATGTTATGTTCAATTATTGGACAGTTGAATTTTACGGAATATTTCTTACGAATGCCTACCCATTATCCACGTTATACGGTTTTCGTGGATCGAATGCACGGATGGACGCGTGTATCCATTTCGTAATAGAAACTGGTCGTAACAATCGTTCAGGAAATCCCGTGTCGCGTTCGACCCCCGACAAAAGAAAATCGAATGTAACAACGTTCGGTCGAAAGAGAAGAATAGAACCGGGCAACGAGAGATAGAATTGAAATGAAAAGGAAAAGGAAAGCAAAGAAAAAAAAATCGGGGAAACAAAACGAAGAGGTGACAGAAAAAGGGTGCGACGCGAGAGGAAGACGATGGAAAGAGAAGGAGAGAGAGTATATACGCATAGAGAAGTGTGCGCGACGCGCGTATTCAGTTACGTCCGGTGCGTCGCGCCGTCGAGACGCACCGTTTCGGCAACAAGTTTTGGTCCGCGTGCTTTTCTTTACGATGTGCATCCACCACCGTCCTACCCTTCTCGAGGGTGGTTGTACAATCGACAGAAACGAGGTTAACTCTTGGCGTTTCATTGATTCTGAAATCCAAAATATATCGAAAACACTGAACTTCTTCGTATAGACGTTTGCAGCTCTACATAATAAAATAATTAATTAATTATGTGGAACGTAAAGAATTAACCTCTCTGTTGATTATTAGAGAATAGATTGGCCTGGTTACGTACTTCACGTTTGTGAGATGTATGTTAATATATGTCAGGACGGAAAGTGAAGACAGCAATGTGTCAAAGTGGTGCGAGTAAGACATTGTTACCCCGTTCGGCTGACTTCATCAATTTTTAAAGTGATTGGATAATAATACAGCAGTGAAAAAGACACAAGTGGATTACGCGGGGTTTCTGTTTACACGGGGTAGCGACGGACCGGCGAAATTGAATAATTGGATAATATCGAACGGGATAAGAATTTGAGACCCTCAGACTTCTTCTTCGCTCCTTATAAAACGGTCCGCAATTTGGTTACTGCTACTCGAGAACTATTTTCATTTCGAATTTTACAATTACTACCGCGGGAACGCGAATGTGTGCATCCATATGCATATTGATACGAGTCGAGCTACTTGGCGAGTGAAGGAGGAAAGTACTTACCGTTTCATCGACTCTCCCGCGGGTCATTTCTCATCGCAAGTAGTTCACGAGTGTTCTCACTAAGGAGAACAATGAGGAAGTTGGAGAACCGTTTAGTCCGTATAATTGGATAACAAAGAGACTTTTAACGCTTGATGCTTCGAACTCTAAGTGCAGATTGTTCACGTATTCTCCGCTGATAACAATTCATTATTCGGCTTCTTAAATTTTTGTTTGACAAATTTTTATGAACGAGACTCTTATTTGATCGACAATTTTGAGCCCGTGCTCGTTTCGCTTTCGTGAAGAAAGAGGAATTGAGGACGTGTCGTATCCTCGCGTGTCAACAGAGGCTTCGAACTTTAAGTGTTCGCATTGTTGTACGTTGCTTGTTGCGCGTCTGATGTGCCGTGGATGCACGAAGGCAAAAGAAACGTGACGACACGCCTCGCGAGAGCACGTGCATCTTGGATAACAAGATCGTTCCGGTAATAGAGAGAGGAACACGCTTCGTCGATTGTCTGAACTTCGCGATCGAACGTTTCAAAAAATTACTTGACAATTGTGACACAGAAATTACTGTATTCGATTAAATAATCAGTATTGATACTATTGGACGATACATATTAATACGAATAAAACGGCAGTGTCAACATACAATGAATAAATTAAGCATCTCGTTAAAGGGATGATTTCATCATTATTAATTAATTATCACGTAAATGTGCATATAATTACATGAAACGAGACAAGCATTGAGTGCGTGGTTACGGAACGTCATCGTCGATGTGCAACGAATGAAGCTTTATTGACGTCCGTTCAGAATTAATTACCACCGCAACGTGATCTACTAATGATTTTACTGACTGATCGAATCAATCGTATCGTTGGCAAATCGTTACGAATATCCCGTTAAACGATACGAAATCGGTGAGCAGATCAGTTCGAATGACGAGTGCCAAGTGCAAATCGTACAACGGGACAGTAATGGTACCAACGTCGTTAACGTCGCGGCTGTGTTCGTGTGCTTAATTGGTAACTACGATTAGCGATTCCGCTGCGAAGTCTAGACCGTGTACCGCCGTGAATTCATGCGATTTGGATGACGTTAACGACGACCGGCATCGACGTCATGGCTTGTATCAGAGCGCCGAGATCCGTCTGTGGATCGAGCGACGACATCAAGGCTGATTCGACTCGCAATGTCATACAGGTACAGGTTTCTGGTCCTGTTATCGCGTATACTATACCCGCCCGAACTGATGTCTGTCTACCCGAGCAAACCGCAGAAAGTACATACGCGATCAGGGTCCCGTTGGATATCGTAGCCTCAGAGCGTTGCAAGTGTTAATTCCACTGATGACCCAAGGAATTATCTTGAAACTTACACGAAAGAGATAACATTTACTAAACTGTTCCTTACTAGATTCAGTCGTGCTTGCTGTATTTTAGATGTTTAATTTAAATCAAGATTTGAAAGACTGGGGGTATTAGGACAGACTCGAGTATCCTAGGGTCGTGAAACGGTGCCAGAAATTGAAATACGTTCCGCTAATTTAAGTGCCGTCTTATTACGTCTCCGAACGAACGAAGAATCGCTTGTTTGAATACCAATTAGAAAACGCAAGGGGCACGTGCTCCAGGTTTCTCCAGCTCGTTCGTTTCGAAGGACTCGCAGGTATCCGTGGAACTCGTAACATAACTCGTGCATACGTATTTAGATGAGAATCTTGACTGGAGAACCACCGGTAAGGCTGTACAGCTGCCCGCCAGAGGCGACGTGTAATAATGAAAATTAGAATCTGCGTGGTGACCCGAAATTATGAAGGAAGTTCATCCTGCTTCTCTCTTTGCCGCGCTCAAAAATAGTACGATGTCTCGACTCGGCCTGCAGAAGTCGTGTGCGTTAGAACGTGCACGTAGAGGTATACGCACACGCACAACGTTTTCGTTTATTGCACATACACGCTGGAGACAGAACCGCACATCTTTGACCGGGTAGATGAATCGCGTATGTAAATATACGCGTATCTCGGTAAAGTACGAATGCGTACATACGCGTGTTGCACCGTGGATGCAAATAAAAAACGTACATATATGCAGAACGTGATGCGAAATCGCTCACCGTTGTTCAACAAAGAAATCTGACTTCTTAATTGCTTTTTCTCTGGTAAATAATCCTTTTCCAAGATATGACGCGAAAAATATTGGCGTTCATCCAAGATAATAAACCCAGTTAATTTGCCGCGTGATGATCCGACGCCTTTTCGTGACACGTCTCTTTATCCACGAAAATAAAAACTTGGTAGCGGTAGTAGCTTTCTCTTGACGCGTTAAAAAAGAATCGTTCGTTCGAACGAAGGCGCCACGCGCCTTCCGGTCGTTCGAGCGATTAGGAAGACCTCGGGAGCGTCGGTCGAAGGAAGTCTTAATTGACTATTTCGTGTTTTTCCAACGCGTGCTCTTCGTTAACGTAATAGTGAAATAATAGACAGTTGCTATAAATTGGGAGCGAGTAAAAATAAAAGTACAACTTCTCCTCGTTATCTCGAGAAATACATTTTATTATATAGTTTTATATGTATTTATACAATATGATTTCCTGTGAACACATTGCGTGCATTGAACTCTTCGTCAGAATTTCGTAGCAGGTGGGACGCTCGATTAAAAATGTAAACATCGTTACGTGATCTACGATTTATTGCGGCGCGACTCTTCCTGCGTCCGGCAGTTAGTCTTTCACGTAATGAGTACGCGAATACTCGCGTCCTTCTGTTAATACTTTCGCTGTCAGAGTCGATGTATCATAATTTATCTTACCTTGAAATATCGATTCAAAGGTGTGATATTATTACCGTATTGTTACTTTATTCTTATAAATAATTTAAATGACACAGATATAATAAAAACAGAAGAGATCATAAGCGAATTTCGTAGCAGGTGGGACGCTCGATTAAAAATGTAAACATCGTTACGTGATCTACGATTTATTGCGGCGCGACTCTTCCTGCGTCCGGCAGTTAGTCTTTCACGTAATGAGTACGCGAATACTCGCGTCCTTCTGTTAATACTTTCGCTGTCAGAGTCGATGTATCATAATTTATCTTACCTTGAAATATCGATTCAAAGGTGTGATATTATTACCGTATTGTTACTTTATTCTTATAAATAATTTAAATGACACAGATATAATAAAAACAGAAGAGATCATAAGCATAATTTACCAAAATAAAACTCGCATACTTTTCTTCATGAGATGGTCGTATAAAGGAAGAATTTGTGTAATCGAGTGGCGTTGGAATTGATTTTTCTATTCCACGAAATCCGGTGAAACCGTCGTTAAGAGGTCGGTGTTGGAGGTCGATTTGATCGCAACGTCACCGATCAACGCAACGCACCTGCGACGCAAACGAGCAGTTGCCGGTCGTAACGATAAAGGTGTACGCAGCTCGCGAACAGGGGCTCGCGTTGGCCTCGCATGCAACGCAGTTAATAAACGTAAGTGTGCCCACATGGTTGCAATAGGCAAGAGATAACGTTTAGGTATCGGCTGACGCGGCGAATGCGTGATGAAAATATAAATTAGAATATCGTGCTCTTTTTGCGACATCTACGGACGTCGCTGATCCGATCGCTTTATGTGAATTCATTTTGCATATATTTTTCTGTTATAGATCTACACCGATTGGGCGAATTATTATTTGGAGAGAGGTGGTTGCAAAAGAAGAGTGACGGACCTGCAGACGGATCTCTGCGACGGTGTTCTTCTCGCCGACCTGGTCGAAGCTGTCAGTAAGTAGATATTATGACTCTTTATGTCGTACAGTAAAAAATCATAAATTAAAAAAACCAAAGAACAGTAATATTTAGCATAATGAGATAAGGTCATGAGGTTAATACATGCACCTTTCTTGAAGCAAAAAGTATTGATAACGAGCTGTATTGAAGTCAATGAAATAGGTGCCAATAATAAAGCGGCAAGTAACAGTATATACTGAATGACCGAATCGTTTATGGCATTGGACAGTTAACCATAACACATAAATCGTCAGTAAAGTCGTTAGTTCGTGGGGTAACGTGGTCACGTGCCATACGCGTACGCCATATGTGATGCGCCTCGATAAATTCACGATTTGCTTGTCCGTTAGCCCACGAAAAGGTAGCCCCTTGTATTAATCGTCGCGTCTCATTGCAGCGAACCAAAAGGTGATTGACGTCAATAGAAAGCCGAAGAACGCTCAACAAATGGTGAGTGAACAAATTTGCATTTATCTATAAATTCAAAGCAACAAGCTTGATCTTTGAATTCCGGTTAATGAATATGTATTTCAATTTTTCATCGTAATTCAAATAATTGGGTTATGGGCTATAAAAATTTAATAACATTTGTTAAAAATGTAAAAAAGTAGGAAAGATAGGGAGCTATATGTGGTATGTCGATTAGAAATTCTATTAGAGACATTAGAGCGTGATCCTCCCAGACAGACTGGGTCCGTGGATTCTCGTCCTCGATCCCGACCGCCTTTCGATTCTAATCTTGAAGTCGTAACAAAAGAACCAAGAAGGCGAGAGGCGAACGGTGAAAATGTGAATGGAGAGACGAGTAGAGTATTTTATGGATTCCAACTGCATCTCGGTGAGAACGAGCTGCGTCACATCCGGATAGATCGACGAAGTCGAATTACACTTTGCGAGATAACGCCTCTTCGTGTTCTCCATTTGCATAATCTCGATAGAACGCGGTGAGGATCGCTGATCATCGTCGATAACATTTGTAATGTAAAGTAGTAACCGCGTAACTTAAAGAATAGCTGCTAATCGGATTTGCAGCGACTACAACTATGGAATACAATTTGTTAAGAACAAGAGTTGTCTATTTAAGTTGAATCAAGTATCTTCATAAGCATCTGTTTTTCTCTGCTTTTTACCGTAGCGTGTCAACGTTACTTCGCATCAAAGTTTTGATTAAGAATTTGACGATGAGTGATATTAAAAGTTATACGAGTACTTTATAAAGTGTGACACTCAGCATGGTATCCAACTTTTCAATGACCTAATAACAAGAGCTTGCAAACACCTTAGAATAAAGCTGTCTCGAGTAGCCCGATCGAAACTTTCTCAGTGTTCGTGACAACATGACGTCTAGCCTAAGTAGCCTAGAATTTAATTATATCGACCCATCGTTGTATAAAAATGTTGAAAACAAACTTTTAGTCGCAGACGGGAAAATGTTCGCCCAGAACTTTATTAGAAATAATTCCGAGACATTTCGTTATACTTTCGGGTACATGAAACGAGTACGACCGAGCGGTCGTAGACGTAGCTTTCCAATTTCGCGGTGTCGAGGGTGGACGAAGGAAAGAAGAAGGGCTCTGGTCTATAATTAAAGCAACGCCACGCGGTCGCGCGTGTATACGCGCGTGTACACACGGGAACGTGTCCAAATGTAACGCGCGTACACCGCGAAACGAAAACCCTGATCACATGTTTTCCTTCAAGGTTCGCGCATGCGACTTGCACGTTAATTTACAGTCCTTAGCCATTCCTGCGACACGTCTAACTCGTAAACCAAAGGGAACCCGGTAAACTTTCCGTATGTTTTCCATGACAAACAGGAAACTGTCGATTGCTCCGAAACGGAGCAGCTGCGCTCTGCGTGCTACGCGAAATCATTGTTTCGTATTCGAATTATCCTCGTTAAAGGCTGTAAGCCGCGCCGCGCTGGGTCACCGTGCCTTTGTCCTGCTTTGGAATAGGCCATAAGCGATACTATGATTGCACGGTATTTTAATCCTTTCACCGCTAATGGCATACATGTGTCCCACAGAGTTCTAAAAAATCACTATCTCGCTATCGCCATAAATATGTTTAACATAAATTGCGCTTACAATAGCTAGGTCAGAAAAATATTTGCATTAATTAGATATCGTGATCAGTAAGGAAACAGAATTTACACGTTTAAAATAAGAATCTTATCGCGTAGAATAAATATAATCTGTAAACAAGAAGATTTTGTCAAACATGGGGTTGGTATTTACTCAGGGAGGATTTATTGACCCTTTCGACACAAATCTGTTCTTTTTCTTTTCGTTTTTCGATAACTTTATCTGAGCCGTGCGTGTTTTTAAAAGAGTCATCGACTAGAACCGGAACCGGTGGCCGGCGCGCGGCGTCGTCGCATCTCTGACCGCTCGCGCCGGTCCATCGGGATCTATTTCTATTTCACGGAGAGTCCACTCCCATGAAAGTGACTCATTCGGGGTATACGTTATTAGTCAACCGACCGTCTCGTGACGATTGCACGCTAATAAATCGTAAGCGTAAACGAAGCTTTGGAAATAAATAATCGCTTTACCATGTACAGAAAATTGTTCCAATACAGGAGGATGGTTCCGCTTTAATATGTGCTGAAAGCACTCTGCGCTTCACATGCGCGCGTTAATTACGGATTAATTGCCAATTAAAACATTCTGTTTTCGATAATTAAAATATTCGTTGAATAAAACAATGGGTACTGATTGAACGCGCAGGATTAAATGGAATTTAATAAATATTTCTTTTTTCTTTTTTTTTTAAAGTAAATGTCATGATTGCCCATTGCGAAAATACAAAGGTCGTGAAAGGCCACGAACAAGTGCCGGTGGAACGATCGGCTATGAGTCCTTGCGTTGACGAAAATGTTCGCTACAGGTGTCCCAGATATTTACACGGCACATTGAAACCAGCGGGGAAACATGGGTGTGGCTTCTCGGTAAGACGTCTTAGTTGAAGATAGATCTTTCTTTTCTTTCAGAAAACGGTACACATAGGTGAACTAACAATGTATCGCAATCTCAAATATTTTAAATAATAATTATTAAGTCAGTTTATTTATTTTAAAGATTATCGGGTGACTGTTAAGTTCTGGGCAAACTGGGATACAATCGCTGAAAAATTATAAGAGTCCGACATTCAATTCCTAACTCGGTGATTTGTTAAACACGTCAAGCGATTGCAAACTAATCACCTAAGTATTTATTTATGTGATATCTGATGCGTCTCGTGATAGTCGGTCGACAGAAATAGATTGATAAACAAAAACTATGGTTATTCTAATCCGGGTAGGCCTCTTAGGCCTGAAATCACAGAGATTGTATCATTCAGTCATCTTATCGTGTCACGGTTGTAACGCGCAATAGATCGTAACTTCTCTTACCTTGAGTAACGTTTGCAGTTAATTACTGCAGTTTGTCAGTGTTCCGCGCGGAAGGTTCGTACATTGCCGACAGACGTCAAGCTAATCATTACGAAGGAACGTAGAAATGAGAAAAATTGTCGAGGAAGGAAGCGATGCACCCACGCAACGTATAATTTCCGGACGATCATTCCCCGTCTCCTTTCTCGGTTATAATTCTATCTCCTGTTCTTTGTTTAATTAACGCGCGGCAAGTGAAATTCTCCCCGAGGCGATCATCTCGCAGCTTTTTATTGACCGTTTCAGTAAATTAGTGTACTTCTGTGTAAAAGTTGAAATTCGTCACGCCTTTCAATCTCGTCCCTCGTATAATTTTTGGTACGTGTTTTATGTACTTTTTTGTATTTATAAGAAATGGAGTGATAAAAAGGAAAGGAAAGGACGAATGCTGTTTCTGAAATTTAAATTGTTTCATTTGAAACTCGAAAGTATAATGAGAACACGTTGACCAGACTCGATTCATGAATTACCATACAATTTACTCTGTATTGTGAATCGTAGAAATACGTCTCAGCGAAGACGACAGGGTGTTTTCTTTATTCTCCCTCGCGTTTCTTATCCTCTGGGAAAGTACGACATCGAATTAGAGAATCTTTCAGAAACCTCGTTCAACAATGTAGTTACGTATCCATCAAACAGGAAACCTCGTTACCTTTCTAAATCCTTTATTCCTTATAGAATTGTCGCAAGCAATCAGAGACCACTCGTCGGAATTCGTGGCAATTTTGCGAGAGTATTTCGAACCACTAGTCGCATGGGAACAATCAGCTAAAAATGAAGCAAGTGGAACGAGAAGCGAAATAAGTTTCGTAAAACTGATTTTATTGTTTGGAACAAAACGCTAGTCATTTTCATTCAACGTAAGTGGAAGTTAGTTGCATGTGCGCGAGATTGATACTGCGTACGCGAACTGCGATCGGGTATAAAAACGTGTAAAGTTATCGGGTCTTAATCTGCGCGGACCGCATTTACCGCAAATAATCGCAACTACCGCGGGAAGATCTCGATAAAGGGACGAGAAGGAAGTATGAGAACGCAAAAGTTTCGGTGGTCATCTTTATGGGAACCGCGCGCTCGATCGCGTTCCGAACTGGCTTCACGCTACTATTTAGCACCGGCCACGTGGATACCTGCTTTTAAGGCTCTCGCGTGTAGGTGTATACGCAACCAGGCTACTACACTGACTCCCACTACCTGCTCATTTCTACTTCCCACCCTGTCCACTTTTATCCGCCGTCTCTTTCTTTCGTTGCATCCTGTCGACGTGTTCTCTTTCGTCTACCGACCCGACCAATTGCGGTGTAGCTTACCTCTACCTCGTGTCAGCGTGTTCTCTGTCTCTCGTCGCTTAGTGTCTCACGAGTGATCCGGTAGCGTGGATGCTGTGTCGATCGCGCTTTGAACTTTCCCGGGAAACATGTATCGAATAAAAATTGAGTGAAAAACTGTATAAAAATTTTGTCGTTTGCACGCATTCTTCGAATTATGTTAGACGGTGAAATTTTCTTTATAGTGTTGCTCATAATCAGAGAATTCAATTAGAATAATTTTATTCTTGTGTAATCATAAAAAAATCATTGTTATCGAAAAGTCGTAAACAGTAAAAATTTATGATCAAGTTATTTATTGTTAGAAAGTGTCTAAAACGATTTGTGGTATTTGATAACAGAATGAAAATAGCAAAAACACACTTTAGATCGGTTTGGTGAATGTGTTTTGTGTATGTGGTCTCTATCTATCATCAAGTAGTGCTTCACGAGTGGTCTGTTACTACTGTGGATGCTGCAACAGTTTCCTGAGTTATATTTTCGCGCCAGTGCCGGTAAACACACGATGCCCCTGCGGTAGCATTTCTCAAGGCTCGGAATTGAACGGAAGCAGAAACGAATTAAAGCGAATTCGAATGAGAAGTCCTGAAGTAATGCGAGAAACGCATAAAATCAATAGAATCAGACGTTGCGATACCAATCGAAGACAGGCGAAAGTGCAATGGAAAACGGAGAGCCATAAGAAA